GATAAGAATTTTGTTCTGACCCCCAAAAAGTCTTTGCTCAATAGTTACGCCACTGTTTCTAACCAAAGTCACAGCAAAATATGCGTCGGGGATTCCCTGCCAAAACAAAGGAAATTAGCAAATCTTACAAGAAAACAATTCTCCTGAATAATTTAATCTTTAATTAATAAAACAGCAATAACAAAACATACACAACAATCAATTTCGATTAAAAATCAAAGCCTGAGAAGACAAGACAAGATTACGTACCACTTGAATAATACTGCGTGTGCGTGGTATATATGGCGTATTATACAATAATTATTTCAGTTAATTTGAATGCATCTTTTTAGACAATTCATAGTTTCCTCATTTTTGCTAACCCATGATATACAACTATACTTTTAAATCGGCACTAAGAAGGACATGGAATCATGCATATTTCGAAAAACATGAATTGGTAAATCTGCCACTGCCAACACTCCCCGCGACTCTTCAAAACGTTGATTTAACGCTTTTTTCTTAAATGTAGGTTGAGTAAGAGGGATCGTTACAATTCAAATTTAAAATTCTGTTATCTGATTATATCATATCACCAATGTAATGTTTCCAGTATAGCATGAAGGGAATATCGTGAAATGGTAATATAGTGCAACATAATTTTATGATACACCCATGATTTTGCATTCCAAAGCCCGTCATGAAGAAGTTTCCATATATCTGAAATGACCCTTCTAAATACGTACACGGCTGATGTCATTCTAGGATAATAACTAGTCTGCAAGCACAGACCCTAATTTGACACTTTATCAAAAAAATCATTGTACCTTGAGAGAAGCCTAGCCCAGCTACCTACTGGTTGTGTCAGGAGCAGCTACAGTACATGGCCTATGGTAGTCTTATAGGGGGCAGACTCACTTTTACGATTGACCAGGGTTTGTGCTTGCTGTAATAACAGTGGAGCACCCGGATCGTCAAGTGGGGCACATACATAAGCGCTATACATGAACCCACAGCAACTATTATTATTTTCAGTGCTGGGCACTCACATAATTATTGTATTGTATTATATATCTTGTGTTATTCTTTTAATAATTTGTAAAGTTACTACACTGTTTCCAACCGTAAAAACACATTGTGTTTAGAATGATAGAAAACTTGATGTCTTTCATCAAAACAACTCTTGGTTTTCCCATTCATCATTCATCATTTCTCATCAAGTTCATCAACAGTATGATATTAATGAGAGCTTTCTGTTTCGTTTTCTTCTACTACATGTATCGGCATCTTTAACCTTTATTACTCTCAACAACGCCCCGCCCCCTTTTTCTAAAAACTTAAGCACCTCGATCCCAATTTTTTGATAGTAACCGTCCCGCCCCCCCCCCTCTCTCTCTCTCTCTCTCTCTCTTTCTCTCTCAATCTCTTTTAATAGATAGCTCTTTCCCCACCCTCCTCTTATCCATCTCATTAATTTTGTCTTCTTTTACAATAATCTTTACCGTTCCTTCACTCTCAAACATCCCTTCATCTCTCTTTGACGTTTTCATCAATTCACAGCTTCTCTTCATCTCTTTGACTCTACCATCAACTCGATCTATGGATCTCTTCTGTATCATTCATCCTACCGCTCGATTATCTTCCTCATTTCTCTCTATCATCCTCCTTCATTCACCCCTCCACCTCTCTCTCACTCTCTCTCTCTCTCTCTCTCTCTCTCCCTCTTTCTCTCTCTAGTTCTCTCTCTCTCTCTCTCTCCCTCTTTCTCTCTCTAGTTCTCTCTCTCTCTCTCTCTCTCTTTCTCTCTCAATCTCTTTTAAAAGATAGCTCTTTCCCCACCGTCCTCTTATCCATCTTGTTAATTTTGTCTTCTTTTACAAAAATCTTTACCGTTCCTTCACTCTCAAACATCCCTTCATCTCTCTTTGACGTTTTCATAAATTCTCAGCTTCTCTTCATTTCACTCTACCATCAAATCGATCTATTTTTTATTTATTTATTTATTTCTAATCTTTTGACAGGGTAGCCCATTCACCAACAAGTAGTGGTCTTCTATGGGGCCGTGAATGAACATATTTACATCGTTTATAACATTTATACAGAACAGTTACAAAAATAATACTCGTTTGCAAAATAAACATATGAATCTCTCCTGTATCATTCTTCCTAACGCTCGATGATCTTCCTCATTTCTTTTCAGCATCCTCCTTCATTCACCCCTCCCCCCCTCTCTCTCTCTCTCTCTCTCTCTCTCTCTCCCTCTCTCTGTGCTCTCTCTCTCTCTCTCTCTACCATCTCATTGTTTCTCATTCAATATCATTCTCTTTATAGTCCTTAATCATAATAACTCCTTTTTCACTCAACTTCTTCAACCTCAAACTCTCTTCTCCTTCTTTTTAAATTTCCTTCCCTCCCCCTTTCTCTTTTTCTCTTTGTCGTTGTCTCTCCTTCCTTCTCTTTACAAAAATCTCTCTCTCTCTCTCATCTTTTTCTCTCAATAATCTCCTTTGTTTTTAATTCACTGTAATTCTCTTGATAGTCCTTAATCATAATAACTCCTTTTTCTTCACTCTACTCAACTTCTTCAACTTCACACTCTTTTCTTCTTGTTGTTAATCTTCCTTCTGCCCTGTCTCTCTCACCTCTCTCTCTCTCTATTTTCCCCTCTTTGTATCTCTCTCTCTCTCTCTCTCTCTCCCTAAAGGTAATGTAAACATGTATACCATTAATTGCAGAATCGAAATGAAAGTTGTGCCCATACAATCTGAAGATGAAAGATACCAACTTTATTAAGTTCGATAACATAATAGACAAATATACATACAGCTGTAACAATTTTGTAGCGTGTAACCGCTTGTGCAATACTATATATTAAATACAAAGTGAGAAAATAGATTTTGTTTAGATTATTGCTATTTACGCATCCTTTTAAATGTATTACATTATAGTAGAATCTTCCACATGAAAATGTTTTTTGTTGTTCTTGCACTGACATGGGCAATGAATGAATTTTCTCCCTTTTTTTAATCCGTAAATTTCCAGTAAGAATTCTGTTTATTTATTTGTTTATTCATTTATTTATATCACATATTTACACAGAGTAGCCTGTTTGGATAGCAAACAATAATACAAACAAAATAAATATAATTCTTAGAATGCATGAACAATGATTTATATAAAGATAAATGTACGAAACACATTTTTAAAAAGCTAGTCTTCCACATTGCTCTGTTTACATTAATAAGAGAAAATATGTACATGGAAAATAACGTACAAAACTTAAATAATAATAATAATAATATATTACACTTATATAGCGCTTAATACAAAGTTTCTAAGAGCCCAACAAAAATAAAATCAAAGTAATGTTAACCTACAAATTACAACAATATAATACATGATACATAATTATAATAACAAATTCCTAATAACAATCATACAATAATAATAGTTAATATTTACATAACGCTTTATAGTTTAACAAACAAAATATGATTACATTACATTACATATCGAACAGAGAAGTCTTAAGTTTACTCTTGAATGTTTCTAACGTTTAGGACTCGCGTTTTTCATGGGGATAAATGATTTTCAATTGGTAAGAAGAATACACATTAGGTGATTAACTAAATTAGACTGAGATCTAATTTGAAGAGTACAAATGGTGTGATTTTAAGATTGCATTGAAAATAAATTGTTCTCCCTCACTTTTTCTTCAATGTTTAAAAAAGACATCTTATACAAAATAATTGCACTTGGTATTTGTGAGTAAATAAACTTCCTTTTAAAATGTTCCAAAAATAAATCATGTAAGCACGGTAAGCATATTTATTGAAGGGCAATCCAACCGTCCTAACAAATCGAAAGGGTGGAAGGAAAAAAAAAGAGAAATCTGTGAAATGGAGTGATTAAAATGTAAACTAAACATGAGCTTACCAATGACGACAACGAGAATGTAAAGTAATGCCATTGGTTAACAGCTATTGTGTAACAAGTTCTCAAAACAACAACTTTGGACCAATCCTTTAGAATACTGGATGAACAAAAACCCATCTCCTTAAAGCCCCTCTAAAGTGTTGGGAGCCTCAAAAATCTGATGGGAAATGTCACTTAAATTGTATCAAAATATGAAAGAGGACACATTTCTGCAAGGATTTTCAAAACAAATGTGTTTGGAATCGAATATTGATGAAAAAATACAAAATGTAGGTTTTCTGCGTACAACAGAAAACCCAAATTATGTATTCTTTTATCAATATTTGACTTCAAACACATTTTTCGGGGGAAATCTTTGGAGAAGTGTTTTCTTGAATGACATCCTTTTCACATTATGATACAATTTAAGTAAAATTTTGCCATCAAAACTTTTGGCAAATATGGAGCTCCCAAAACTAAAGTATCTGTTGACCAAACTGAGGATACATACTATGTGATCTCTTTTTTTTAAATATATGTAAGCCCTACCTTTTATTTCGATTTTGAACTAAAATATATTAAAGTTGTGGGTCTTGTTAATCTATTAAGTCAGTTGTGGATATCCAATACAGCACAGCTACAGTCAACCACACCTGGATATATCTTAACATCTTATACATAATTATGTGTAACCAAACTTGAAGCAAATTTTTTAGGTACCACTTGTACCACCCCCATCCCAGATCCGCCACTGCCTAGACAAGCTCGTGGTTGTTAAAATTCATCACAAAATCCAAGGTGTACCAATCTTTTTTCTTAAACGAACTTGAACTTGCAAACAATCCGAGAGTAATGAGAGCAGAATATGTAATCAGTCAATTGCCATATCATTCTCGTTCAAACTTCAATATAGTCTGTAGACAGAGACTCTAATTTGACACTAAATTACAATTCTATGAAGTCTTGAGCAGAGCTTTACTCTATCGGTCTCTGGCCGAGTCAGGAGCAGCTAATGTACATAGCCTTTGGAGTGCAATAGGCCATGCATAGTCTCACAGTTGAGACATTCTGCCACGACGACAAGGGTGTGTGCCTGTCAACTAACATCAGTTACCCTGGATACACGTGTAGGTGAAGTTGAGATACTTGTATGTCCCACCACAGGGGTCTCCGAATTTAGCACTTCCAACATGGAAGTTGCATGCTGAACCCGAGGGTTGGCAAATGTCCGCGGCGACGTCCAGGAAACAGGCGGTATTTTCCATTATGCCTGGACGTTCGTGAGGGCAGGCGACCGGATCAGTGCGTCCGTAGATCGCGGACAGGATGCTGATGACCTCTCCCGGTGAGCATGTAATATCTTCACTTTCATTTTCACAGATTATTAAGTTGCGGAAATCATCTGGGACGGAGAGCAAAGATAAGAGAGATAGAAATGTCAATCAAGAAAAGTAAGTTATAGGGTATAACACGAATAAGCCTAATAACGACTTTGGGAAATCAACTCAAGGGCAAATCGATCATAGAAATCCCGGATTACTGTACGTAATACCGTTTGTCATTGTATTGTTTGCATAGACCAGGGAGTTAGAATGAACCAGGATATTTAAATTGTCTTTTTTTTAAGAAACCGACACCGATCCGACAACAGACCGAAGAAACGGTTCGGAGTCGGGTTGGCGGTGTGACTTTTATACATTAGTCACATCAACGAACCGACTCGAGACCGACAACTTAACGAACAAGAATTCAATTCAATTCAAAAATGGTTTTTATTATAGCACAAACATGGTTCATACAAATACAATTTTACATGAAAGACAGCCATGGCTGGAATATTCATGTTTACATGTTAAACACTTTTAAAGATATATACATGTAAAAAACTAGCAATATAAAAAAGTAGAACTTAGATTCTGTAGTTAAAAACCATAAACACATTGCACAAGTTGTCCAAAATACAACAAAACATGAGCTTTTACTTTTCACAAATTTCCTATTATGTCATAAAAGTCAATACAAGCATGGTAAAAGGATTAAAATAGGTAAGTTTAAAACAGTCTGATGGGGGGGGGGGGGGGGAGGAGACAAGCAGTCAGTATACCTCCAATAACGATAAAAGTATAAAAACTTTTGTTGAGTATTTCAACCAAAAATGACAGTGGACTATTTTCAACCTTATTGTTTTGAATTGGAATTGCTGATAAATGGGAATACGGCGAAGAGGTATATGAATGCATTTCTTTTTTAGTCTCACCAATAGAGTGATTTGAACGGGATATTGCGAATTTTCTACAGAGTACTAATCTCCTCTCCTCAAGAGTTGGTAAATTGCATACTTGACATGCATTAGAAAAGGTAACGTAACTAAGCCATAAAATAATCTTACATACTCTACGTTGTATTTTTTCGAGTTTATTATTTTGTTCTACTGTAAGACTGCTATGTAACGCGGGAGCCCAATATTCTATAATTGGCCGTATATAATAACCTACGTATTTTGTCACTAAATCCCTAAAAGGTAAATTGAATTTCTTAAGTTTTCTCAACATATAAAGTTTTCTATTGCACCTGTTGACTAAATCATTAACATGTAAATTCCATTTTAAATCAGATTGTATAATGACTCCAAGAATGTTGCTAGTTTGTACATTGCATAGAGGAGAGTCATTAGTGGAAAAAACTTCAGGAGAAGCAGGGTTTTTCATAAAAGTAACCTGCAGGGTAAACACTTCGAAGGATTACGGGACATATTGTTTGATTGAGACCAGTATTACACAGAATTAAGTATAATTGTGAAACGTCTGTTTACGACATTGTACTAAAGATAAATCATCAACATATTTGAAATAATGTATAGGTCCTATACATTATATTTTCACATAAATCATTAACCATAATTGCAAAAAGAATTGGGCCAAGACGTGTCCCTTTGGGAACACCGGCGCGACTAACTTTAATATCAGACAGAGTTCCATTATATAATGTACTTTATTTACAACACACTAAAAAACTTATGATCCCATTTATTATCCAAGGTCTTATGTGCATATTATGGGCATCTCCAAGGGGTGTGGGGTGCGACACCCCCACCCGTTAAGATATTGTTGGTAAAATTGCGCTGCCGTCGGGGAAAAAGAGAAGGGGGAGGGGAAAAAAAGAGAGGGAAAGGAAAAGAAACGAAAAACAGAAAAGGAAAATAAAGGGAATAAAGGAGAAGAAAAGAAAGAAAAGAGAAGAAAGAAAGAGAAAAAAAGAAAGAGAAAAAAAGAAAAAGAGGGAGGAGAGGAAAGAAGAAGAAGAAAAAAGAAAAGAAAGAAAGAAAAGGAGAAAAGGAAAAAAAAAAGAAAAAAGAGAAAAAGGATACAAAAGAAACGGGGGGGGGTGAAAGAGAGGAGAGAGAGGGGAGGTAAGAGCCTGAGAGAGAGGGGGTTGGGTGGAGTCGTCTCGTGGAGGGAGCAAGAAAGACACGCATAAATATGTTGCTATGTCGGGTCAGCTGTGTCAGTATTCTTGCTGGATCCTCGTGTACTACTATATCAATGCAGAAGTTTGAAGTCGGTGAGATGTACAGTGCTACCCAGAAAAAACGAAACCGAGAATTATCGATGTTTTATCATAACTTAATTACAATTATAATTAATAAATGACATATATTTGTAAAGCTTAGAAACTAGAAACCAAAAGTCATGTGGCGGGCAGTTTCTGATTTTTTTTTCTAGAAAGTTCAATTTCTGCCCTTTCATAAAAATTATGACACCTCAATCAGAGAAAATGAGCAAGGATTAACAAAGTTCTGTCCGTTTAAGTGATGTTTGCATTTCCATAATTTGATTTAAAAAGCTTGTTTAACAATGTTTCCAGTTTTATAAGTCTGAGATGCATGACCCTACGTGTTATCAGTGTCTGTGATATGGTATCAAAGAGAGAGAGAGAGAGAGAGAGAGAGAGGTGGAAAGTGAGAGACAAAGACAGACAAAGAAAGTGCGAGAGGAAGAGAGATAGAGGTAACATGCTTACGAATTTGTAGTTTTAATGGGATTTGGTGTGGTCAAGCAGTGGCGGATCCAGGGGGGGGGCGGAGTGCTTGCGCCCCACCCTCGGCAAATAAAAATAGTAACCGCAATTTAACCTTTTTTTGCTCAAAGGGGGGGGGGGGTGTGTAGTTGAGTTTTAAAAAATATATATTTTTCGTACTCACAGAGAGAGATAGAGAGAGAGATAGAGAGAGAGTGAGAAGAGAGCAGGCGCGTACGCGGGGGGGGGGGGGAGGTTAGGGGTTGAACCCCCCTTTGGTATTTTTAATGTGTGTATTTCGGAGGAAAACACCCCCCTTTGGTTTTTTTTTATTTTTATTAATAACAACAAAAAACATTATGCCAATGGCTGAGCCAAAAAAAAGGTGACCTTACCCCCCCCCCCCCATACAAAGAAAAATGTCAAATTTTTAAATTTCGAAACCAAAACAGAAAAGTGTCCAGAAAAGTTACCCCCCCCCCCCCCCCCCGCTTATTCAGCGGCTGGCTGAGTCGTTGCGAAATTTTCGGCCCGATTTCAAAATGTTAACCCCCCCCCCCTTGAAAAATCCCTGCGTACGCTACTGGAAGAGAGAGATAGAGAAAGAGAGAGGTGTGGAGGCAGAAAGTGAGGGTATGTTAAAGGCATTGTTTAACAATGTTACCATTTTCATAAATCAGAGATGCATGACCCTACGTGTTATCAGTGTCTCTAATATGGTGTAATATTGAAGCCCTACTAAAATTGCGGTTCAAAATGATTATGGAATGCTTTAAAAAAGGAAAAATCTTTGAGGGACCGGTTTTACTATATTCATTTCCCTCAATAGACTGTATTGTTAACGGTTTTTGTAATTTCTAATTCCAATCATAAATATCTTGATAATCAGACAGGCGATTGGCTCGTAAAAAAAAAGGGATTCCTGATTTACTTAAATGTTTATAATTATGAGTGCAGCATGAGCTAAATTCAAGATTTTTTTTAAAGAATCTGAGGCAAAAATACCCAATTTAGTCAATTTGTTTAGAAAGTTGTAAACGAAAGGGTGAGCATTAAAAAAAGAGGGAGAAGAAGAGAAAAGAGAGAGAGAGAGAGAGAGAAGAGAGAGAGAGAGAGAGAGAGAGAGATGATGTAAATGGAGTTTTCTTACCAGTAGTTGTCGTAGGATGTGACGTAGCGGATTCCGTTGTGGACATCGTTGTGGTGTCTTGTGTAGTAGTTGATGCTGAAGAATAAAAGATGATATAAAGACATGATAGTTTGATCTTAGGCCGAAATGCGTTTAATTTCATATAAACCCAAATTATTTTGAAAGATATATAGAATGAAAGAGAAAGAGAGATAGAGAGAGAGGGGGGCGGAGAGAGAGAGAGAGAGAGAGACAGACAGAAGAGAAGAGAGAGAGAGATGGTGTAATGGAGTTTTCTTACCAGTAGTTGTCGTAGGATGTGACGTGGCGGATTCCGTCGTTGACATCGTTGTGGTGTCTTGTGTAGTAGTTGATGCTGAAGAATAAAAGATGATATAAAGACATGATAGTTTGATCTTGGGCCAAAATGCGTCTAATTTCATATAAACCCAAATTATTTTGAGAGAGAGAGAGAGCGAGAGAGAGAGACAGAGACAGAGGAGAAGAGAGAGAGAGATGGTGTAATTGGAGTTTTCTTACCAGTAGTTGTCGTAGGATGTGACGTGGCGGATTCCGTTGTGGACATCGTTGTGGTGTCTTGTGTAGTAGTTGATGCTAAAGAATAAAAGATGATATAAAGACATGATAGTTCCATCTTAGGCCGAAATGCGTTTAATTTCATATAAACCAAATTAAATTGAAAGTTAGATAGATTGAGAGAGAAGGAGAGAGAGATGGAAAGAGAGAGAGATAAAGAGAGACAGAAAGTGAAAGAGAAAAAGAGGAAGAGAGATAAAGGTAACAAACGGGTAGTTTTAGTGGGATTTGGTGTAATTGAGGAGTGGCGGATCCAGAGGGGGGAGGGGGGGGTGGCCTGGCAACAAAAATAGTTTTAACAATTTAACCTTTTAAAAAATAAAGACGCCCCCCCCCCCTCTTCTTGGCAGAAAAAAACATAAAGAAAAAGATGGTAACCACAATTATTTTTCTTAGCTCAAAGGAAGGGGGTGTAGTTGAGTAAAAAAAAAAATAGTGCTCACAGAGAGAGAGAGAGAGATGGTGTAAATGGAGTTTTCTTACCAGTAGTTGTCGTAGGATGTGATGTGGCGGATTCCGTCGTGGACATCGTTGTGGTGTCTTGTGTAGTAGTTGATGCTAAAGAATAAAAGATGATATAAAGACATGATAGTTCCATCTTAGGCCGAAATGCGTTTAATTTCATATAAACCAAATTAAATTGAAAGTTAGATAGATTGAGAGAGAAGGAGAGAGAGATGGAAAGAGAGAGAGATAAAGAGAGACAGAAAGTGAAAGAGAAAAAGAGGAAGAGAGATAACACACTTGTAGTTTTAGTGGGATTTAGTGTAGTCGAGCAATGGCGGATCCAGGGGGGGGGGCCTGGCAATAAAAATAGTAACCACAATTTAACCTTTAAAAAGTAAAGACGCCCCCCCCCCCCCTCTGGCATAAAGAGAGAGAGAGAGAGAGAGAGAGAGAGAGACAGACAGACAGACAGACAGAGAGAGAGAGAGAGAGAGAGAGAGAGAAAAGAGAAAGAGAGAGAGAGAGAGAGATGATGTAAATGGAGTTTTCTTACGAGTAATTTCAATTAATTTGAAAGATAGATAGATTGAGAGAGAAAGAGAGAGCGAGAGAGAGGGAGAGAGGGAGAGAGGGAGAGAGAGAGAGAGAGAGAGAGAGAGAGGAGAGAGAGAGAGAGAGAGAAAGAGAAAAAGAGGAAGAGAGATAAAGGTAACAAACGGTAGTTTTAGTGGGATTTGGTGTAATCGAGCAGTGGCGGATCCAGAGGGGGGATGGGGGGGGGGGGGTGGCCTGGCAACAAAAATAGTTTTAACATTTAACCTTTTAAAAAATAAAGACGCCCCCCCCCCCCCTCTTCTTGGCAGAAAAAAACATAAAGAAAAAGATGGTAACCACAATTATTTTTTCTTAGCTCAGAGGAAGGAGGTGTAGTTGAGTAAAAAAAAATAGTGCTCACAGAGAGAGAGAGAGAGAGAGAGATGGTGTAAATGGAGTTTTCTTACCAGTAGTTGTCGTAGGATGTGATGTGGCGGATTCCGTCGTGGACATCGTTGTGGTGTCTTGTGTAGTAGTTGATGCTAAAGAATAAAAGATAATATAAGGACATGATGGTTTGATCTTAGGCCGAAATGCGTCTAATTTCATATAACCCAAATCAAATTGAAAGATAGATAGATTGAGAGAGAAGAGAAAGAAGAGAGAAAGAAAGAGAGAGATAGAGAGAGTGAGAGAGAGAGAGAGAGAGAGAGAGAGAGAACAAAGAGAGCAACAAAGAAAGTGAAAGAGATAGAGGAGGCGCGATAGCTCAGTCGGGAGAGCAGTGGTCTCGTGATCCGGTGAACCGGGTTTGAAACAAAGTCGATGCGCTAGTGCCCTTTGGTAAGGCATTAATCCTCATTACCAGGTCCCTCGGAGAGGACTTAAAGCCGTCGGCCGTCTGGTTGCTTACTAACAAGCATTTTATGCTTTCTTAGCAGTCAGGTAAAATAACCATCACCACAACATATTAGAGAGGAAGAGATATAAAGGTAACACAATTTAACCTTTAACAAAATAAACACGGCCACCCCCTCTGGCGAAATAAAAGGTTAAGAAAAACATTGTAACCACAATTTGTTTTTTGTTGCTTAAAGGGAGGGGGATGTAGTTGAGTAAACAAAAAAGAAAAACAAAATCAAAAAACAAAACAACAATTGTATTTGTTAGTGCTCACTACCCCCCCCCCCCCCCCCCCCCCCCCATCCTTCGTGTTCATCATCGTGGTGTCTTGTGTTGTACTTGTTTCTTATAACAATATGATTACTGGTACATATACAATAGGCCCCAGGTTCCTAACTCATGCATACATTTGAGTCGTTCATAGATTATTAATTGTATAATTACCATTATTGTTCAAGAATCATAATTTTTCAAAGCCTACCCTTCATTCCAATGAGTTATGATATTATAAATCAATCTTCAAGTTGGACAGACATATCATAATTGTAATGATCATCACTATAAAGCTAAAACTCACCAGCTAACTTGCAAACGAAATGTCGTTTAATACCCTTCAATGTGATGGGAAGCGAGGGCATGTACTCTGGCACTGTAGGCATTAATTCACCATTGACAAGAATCGGCTGGCAATGATTATCCTCAGTATGCAACACTTCATCGGCCATGTTTGTAGATCCCTTCGCGTGAGCTAAAACACGTTAAATATACAGCATTGCAATAAGTCATTAAATACACAAAATATAAAGTTGACTTTTATATACACAAAGGACAAATTCCTTTGCTTCACAGGGAATCAAATACAAAATATAACCCCAATTGTTGTTGGCGTTCTGTATCGACCTCCGAAAGAAAACAAAATAAGTCAAAGTGGTGTCATTGATCTAGGTATTAGCGACCATTCTTTTACTTTCTGTACATGAACAAATATTACACTGGCTATAGGTCATCACAGGACTAATGATATCAGATCCATGACAAAATATACATAAGAGTCTTTCGATCTTTAACTATCTATTGTTGATTGGTCAGGAATAACTGACTGTACAGATATAATATATTTCAACATGTTTTTATCTCAAATTTGAATATGATAGCGCCACTGAAACGGATAAGAATAAAACAAAGATCAGAAACTTGAGTGAGTAAGGATATTCTTTCCCTAATTCAAGAGAGAAATATAGTATACAAAAAATTGAGGAAAGAGCAACAGATGAGACGCTCTATAAAAGATACAGAGTATTAAGAAATATGGTCCAAAGAGAGGTGAAAAAGGCTAAACTCGATTACTTACAAGATAGAAGAAAATAAACAAGATTCGAAAAGGCTTTGGCAGAATCTAAAAAGCTTAGGATTAAAAAATAAGAAGCGAAAAGAACAAGAATCTGTCATTAAAATTGATGGGGAATTATGTCATGATAAGATGGCCATCGCTGATGAATTCAATTCTCATTTCACAAATGTGGCTGCCAAATTAGTAGACAAACTCCCCCTTCCTAAAACTTTTTCACCGCAGACAATGAACGTATTCGTGAGTTTTACAAAAGAAAAGATGTAGGTGAAAACAGCTTCGAATTATTACCAATCAGTAAACAATTTGTTTTCAAAGAGTTACGTAAGCTGAATGTATCAAAAACAGAAAGCGTTTTGTTTTGTTCTAAAAGTAGTTCTAAAAGCAGGTTTTCTTGAAGTCGACCAAAGATCAAACAACTCGTATTGCATCACGTGCATAAAATATATCATACTAGGTCAAATCATTATATTCGATCCAACTTCGATCTTGTTACTGACGTACATGATTATAATACAAGAAATAGCCGATTCAACTTTAACTTACCAGAAAGAGTAGGTAGTATTGGAAATTCGTTTTTATTACAATGCCATAAAACATTGGAATTCCCTTCCCAATAGTGTAAAGGAAATAGAAAAATATGCTCATTTTAAAAGGACATTAAAGGAATACCTAATACTTGACAGTCAGAGAAGACAAGTGAATGACATGTTATATGATTGAAATTTGTATACTTCTGCCGGTTCATACTTTTTCATTTTGTATATACTTATGTTTTCGTACTTTAGAGAATATTTACAAATTCATCAGTATTTTCCTCTTCTTCCTCTTCCTCTTTTTCTTTTCTCAGCCATCCTTTTCTTCTTGTACTTATTATCATTTCTATCATCAGTTTAATGTTGTTATTGTTATTGTTATCATTAATAAGTAATTCTTTTATTTTTCTTATCTGTCTGTAAATATTACTATTTTAACTTATTAATTTTACACATGTCTGTAACGGACCACACTGGATATAAGCTCTCGAGCTTTCGTAGGTTAAAGAGGAATTGATGGGGGAGGGGGAACACTTGTCATCAGTTTTTACTCATTTAGCCAGACATGGGGAAGCAGATAGAGGGTGAATCAGGAACCGGTCAAAAAACATTTAACTACTTGTCGTGTCTTTATTCGAATTACGACCCGACGTAATTATTAGCGTGGTGTCTTTATTCGAATTACGACCCGACGTAATTATTAGCGTCGTGTCTTTATTCAAATTACGACCCGACGTAGTTTTTTAGCGTCGTGTCTTTATTCAAATTACGACCCGACGTAATTATTAGCGTCGTGTCTTTATTCAAATTACGACCCGACGTAATTATTAGCGTCGTGTCTTTATTCGAATTACGACATATTATGTTTTTAACCGGTTCCGGCTTCCATAGTAAGGGAAACATCTCCCACACCATCGCGAGCCTATAACTCTCTTAAAAAAAAGAGAGTGATTTTTCACTCTATTTTCACTTTCTTGGGAGTGACGTCCGTGATCACTTGTTTAGGAGTGAAAATCGATTGATTTTAGAGTGCTCTCTAAGAAGAAAAGAGTGAATGTTCACTCTATTTTCACTACATTTTCACTCTCCAGAGGAGTAACGTCCGTAATCACTCGATTTTTTGTTAGAGAGTATACCTCCCTACCTTTTTATACTACCACGATAACCCAAATTAAAGGCTTTAAATAAAAATATGATATGCTATACTTTGGCAAGACATTGATCTACATTTGCCACTCTCCACCCAGGTGTTAAATGGGTACCCGGTAGGATGCGAAAGCTAATGTGGTTAGATTAGCAAGTGTGCGCATGTAAAAATGACGCCTGGCTGGAATGCTCCCCAGGGAGTGGAGAATGTGCATACATTGTGTGCGGGTAAGCCTGAATCCAATGACCGGGGTAATAATATACTTATCTGTAAAGCGTTTTGTGAGGACCTCCGGTCCTGAAAAGCGCTATATAAGAACGAGCTATTATTATTATTATTACTAAGTCGGGTCAAACTAAAGTTTGAACAACAACGAAATCAAGAACAGATTTCTCAACGGTTTCCGATAGTTTTTTAAATCAGGAACAACATACTCAAAATCTAAGACAATCAGACCCACAGAAAGTGTTTATTTTGAAATGGCGTTCAAGATGGTAGCCATGCAATACCTTACAATAAGGGAGTTTACATATAGCACATGGTACAAATGACCCAAAATATTCACAGATCTTTTACACATGGATAAGTTCCACTTTGAGCATCTTAGAATAATAACTGCCAAAGTCCTAGATGTGCTTCATGAATACCTTTTGTTTGACCTCTTGAAAAGAATAACGTGATCATAATAAATGATCAGAGTCATTCTGGGAGAGTCAAGGATAGACAAAACAATTGCTGGCATAGGCCAGAAATAGCGCGCGCCTTTTACAGCTGTTTAAGCGGTGCCTTTGTGAGACAGCGACATGTGAAATTTACCTCTGTAAAGAAACCGAAAATGCGCACAGCCAGTGAATCTACAACGGTGGAGTTATGCGCGCAGTAAGCGTGGGAACGCCGTGTGCAAGATTTTCTCACTTTCGACTTTATCTCCGCTCGGAGAAGTCCTTTTTCCCCGGCCCACCCACCCCTCTTTAGTTTAAGTAGAGTTGAAGAAGTAAACTACTTAAAGTTGATTGAGGATTAACAAATTGGAAGTACAATGTTGTTTTGAGTGATATAACGAATTGTATGTACTTAATATCATGGTAACACGGGGGTTGACTGGGGGAGGATTTCTTTTACTCGTGATTATTCCATGGTTGGTTCCGATTATCACCACTTCTTATATATGCGCTGGTATAGTAGCACCGGGATAACATTGGGGATACTGCAGGAGATACTATCCTGTCGGTGGGTCACGTAAACCCCAGGTATCTGGGGTGATCGGAGGGAGTTACTACCCTTCCGCTGATCGCGTGACTCGAGACCCCACAAATATAGTGTTTCCATAACTATGTTAGTTATGCATTGATGATTTTGTGAGTATTGAAAAGTTGTGGGGATCATCCGTAGGAGATACTATCCTACCGGCAGGTCACGTAAACCCCAGGGACCTGGGGTGATCGGAGGGAATTACTATCCTTCCGCTGATCGCGTGACTCGAGATCCCACAAATATAGTGTTTCCATAACTATGTTAGTTATGCATTGATGATTTTGTGAGTATTGAAAAGTTGTGGGGATCATCCGTAGGAGATACTATCCTACCGGCAGGTCACGTAAACCCCAGGGACCTGGGGTGATCGGAAGGAGTTACTATCCCTCCGCTGATCACGTGACCGGAGATCCCTACAATTTTGAGTTTCACTCATGGTACATGTACCCTTAAGATTGTTGAATCATATCACGTTTATACATTATTGTCGAATTGTTTATGGTGGACCCTCTTTATTGTGGTTATAAGATTTTGTTATTGCTTTTATGCATGTTACTTGTTTTACTTTGACTTTCCTACTTTACATGTTTTGAGGAAAAGGACTCCTAGTTTCGGAGCGGAATAAATGTCGAGCAAACTGCAAATCAGTCTAAAGTTGTCTTCTTCCTAGAATACTTCCACCTGCGTATCATAGAATGTACCGTTGGTGCATGAATGAAAAATGTTACATAACTTTCATGAGCGCATATCCAGTATTCATCTATGTGGGTTTTACCATTTTGGTACAAATGACCTTCATCTGCCCATGCGCAGATTGTATCTGTAAACTGGCTTATAGCCATAAATCTCGATATATCCACCTTAGAGATGTAATTTCGGTGTCTATACCTAGGTATGGGTCGAACAATTCAATCATACTACTTACAATGGGTTATGGCTACCAGGAACCTATAGAAATCCAAGAAGGCGTCCAAAATGGCCGCCAGTTTCCTAACTATTTACAGTAGAGTTATAACTAGTAAGATTAAAAATATGTTTTAGAGATCAGGATATGCACTGGTTTGCTTTGATTTATCATGGTTTAAAGTTGCCCTATACTCAAAACACTATAAAAGATGACCGCCATTTTGGATTCCAATATGGCCCCTGGAAACTGAAATAAGCCACAAATCGTGATATATCTATCTTAGACATGTTATTTTGGTGTCTATGCCGAGGTTTCGGCGGTCGACAAATCCATTTAGACTGTTTAAAATGTGGTATGACCACCAAAATACCTGGAAATTCATGATAGTGTCCACAATAGCAAATAAATAACTGATATAACCAGATTTGTTTTCTTTTTTTGTACTGTAAGAAGTTGTGAGAATTAAATGTATTTTCTAGTTATGGATTTCCATTGATATAACATAAGAATCATATAGTTTTTACGCGAGAAAGTTTTGTAATAATTATGGTT